ATATTTATGGTGATGCATCAAAAAGGTAACTAATTTTGATCGAAATGCATCAAAAACGTAATTTTTGTATCACTTTACGTAAACATTAAGGGTCCGTCGCTACGCTCCGGACAATAAACAGGTTTTCTATGAATTTCTTTAATTTGATTGGTCAATGATCGGCATAAATTAACCAATCATATGAATGATGACAGAGTTGATTGTAATAGGATTATCTATAATATGTTCTAAAAACTTGTAAAATAATTTCAAATTAATATAATTAAAATGCAAGCTCCTGTGATTGTTATGAGTACGTATATTGTATTTTATACCTTGAGATAGGTTTATCCGTACTTACAACAATGTTTGTCCTCCAAGACACAAATGTAGAAAGGGAGACCGGGAGAAAAGCCCAGGTTTCCAACATTACTGCCGCCAAGGTATGATTTTCGTGAATAAACTTGGATATGGTTTAATCTACTTGATCTTTTTTTTTCAAAGGTTTTCATTATTTATGTATTGTTATGAATTTTACGCGATTATCGCATTCGTTTTTTCATGGGACATAGACTGTTGCGGATATTATTCGTACTTGTCTCGGTCCCCGTTCTATGCTCAAGATGCTTCTTGATCCTATGGGTGGTGTTGTCCTCACTAATGACGGCAATGCCATTCTTCGCGAAGTTGAAGTTGCTCATCCGGCCGCTAAAAGCATGATAGAGTTAAGCCGAACTCAGGATGAAGAAGTTGGTGATGGTACAACAAGTGTTATTATCCTTGGTACGAATTAAAATGAATATCTCGTTTGATTTTCCATAATCATTAGAATTGACTTTCTTAATCTATATATCTTTAATTTGGTAAGTTCAGCTGGTGAAGTTCTTGCACAAGCTCTTCCATACCTTGAACGGAATGTACATCCAATTGTCATTATTTCCGCATTCAAAAAAGCACTTGATGATTCTATAAAGATTATTGATGAAATTTCAAAACCAGTTAATATTGAGGATCAAGAAGAAATGTTGAATTTAATAAAAAGTTCTATTGGTACAAAATTTGCAAGTAGATGGAGCCATTTGATGTGTAAATTGGCATTAGATGCTGTAAGGACTGTAGCTAGGGAAGAAAATGGAAAACGTGAAGTTGATATTAAGCGATATGCTCGTGTTGAGAAGGTGTTATTTACTATTGAAAAACCACGTGTATTGTCATTGTAATAATTATGAATACATAATTTACCTGGTTTGTTTTCAGGTTCCTGGTGGCGAAATTGAAGAATCCAAGGTTTTGGATGGCATTATGCTCAATAAAGATGTTACACACGCAAGTATGCGTCGTCGTATTGAAAATCCTCGAATTGTTCTTCTAGATTGTCCGCTTGAATACAAAAAAGGTGAATCACAGACTGCTGCTGAAATTACTGATGAGAGCCATTGGAGTAGATTGTTACAAATCGAAGAAGAACAAATAAAAGAGATGTGTGATAGGATCATATCTGTCAAGCCTGATCTTGTATTTACTGAGAAGGGCATTTCTGGTAAGTAGGTTCCAATGTTGCAAATTTTTATAGATAATAGGTTAAACTTATTTTATATCAATAACCCAGATCTTGCACAACATTACCTATTGAAGGCAAATATATCAGCTATTCGTCGTGTCCGTAAAACTGATAATAATCGAATTGCTCGTGCTGTTGGTGCAACAATTGTGAATCAACTTGATGAATTAAAGGAAGAAGACGTAGGCACTGAGTGTGGTTTATTTGTTATTGATAAAATAGGTGATGAGTAGGTATTAAATGTTATTCAATACCTCACATAAAGACGTGTTTCTTTTTAACTTTCACATATTAATGTCGCCGTTATTATTATTTGTAAATAAGGTATTTTACTTTTCTTACTAAATGCAAAAATCCAAAAGCGTGCACGATTTTGCTTCGAGGTCCATCAAAGGATATTTTAAATGAGGTAGAGCGCAATCTTCAAGATGCAATGTGTGTAGCAAGAAATGTATTTTTCAACCCTCTTTTAGCACCAGGAGGTGGCGCAACAGAGATGGCTATAAGTGTAAGGCTATCTGAAAATTCAAAAACTTTAGAGGGTGTTGAACAATGGCCTTACAAATCTGTTGCAGATGCTTTAGAGGTTATCCCAAGAACATTAGTTCAGAATTGTGGTGGCAATGCTATCAAAGTGTTAACTCAATTGAGGGTAATCATACAGCATTTCTTAATGACTTTGACTAAATAAATATGTAAATATATATATATATCACAATGATGTCTTAAAAAATCTGTAGGCTAAACATGCTACCGGAAATCATACATGGGGAATTGATGGCCTAGCCGGTGCTATTGTAGACATGAACGAATATGGTATTTGGGAGCCACATGCTGTCAAAGTTCAGACAATTAAGACAGCTATTGAGGTAATTAATTTAAAAAAAAAAAAATAAAATTTGCATCGTTTAAATTTTTGACATTGCCTTTCTTTTGCGATATTAGTCGGCATGCTTGCTCCTTCGAGTTGACGACATTGTATCTGGTGTATCGAAGAAAAAATCGGGCGGTGGAACGCAACAAGTTCCGCATGATGCCGAAGGTGAAGGTGAACCAGGAGACAAGTAGGGATGGTAAAGTTAGTCTAGGTTTGGTTTAGGTTCTAAAACCTTTAGATTTCAAATTAAAAACCTAAGAACCAGGTTTTTGTATAATAAAGTTCCAAGCCTGAATTAAGCATAATTTAGTTCAGAACTAAATTTTAAAACTAAAAGCTGGTTCTAAATATATATTTTGTATTAATAAAAATTACTTAATTCGTATCAAAATTTTAAAGTATATATATTACTGGATTACCAAATAATTACATAAATGATCTTTTTATTCATATCGAGTGAATGGATACTTTAATTTTATGACGATCCATCGATACCTTATATCCAAATGATAAAATTATTTGACATTAATAAATGTTATGCAAATACAAGTTATGAAATTTAAAAAATAAATTTTAATACTGCTATATCTTCTTTTACTTTATATAGCGATTAGTAAAAATATACGGTTTTTACTAAATTATAACAATTATTATAAAACGCACCTATGGTGGTTTTGCACCTATATGTTTTTATTATGTTTTTTAAAATTTTCTAAGTTTTTATAAGTTTTGTATATAAAATTTTTAACACCAATGTTTTCACGTTAAAGTTAATATTAAGGTTAGGATTAGGGTTTGGGAAGGGTTTTTGGGTGCGTAGAACATTTTTACTTAGAACACCTTACACCGATTAATTAGCCAGTTTTTGAGATAATGTTTTAGTAAAATCCAATTATAATGTAGTAGGTTAGTGGTAGGAACAGCAGAGACAGAGCCCTATCCAGAGTGAATTCCTCTCTTCTGTGATCAATCACAAATTAAATTATTTATATTGAATTTAATTGTAATGGATATAATCCCTCATCTCATAGAATGACTTTCACATGATTGGTTGTTTAAGTCAATTTAATTTTACATTATTTATACAGTTTAAAGTACTTTTCAAAAAAAAATAAAATTATTATACTTTTAAATAAAGATATAGATTTAATAGAAAGAGTTAAGCAAAGTGAAAAGAGATATACAAACATCCTATAGTCATTTGCATATAATTTTTAGCTTCTAACACAAGTTATAGTATATTTTAATTTTTTTTATATCAATTTTTTTGCAACATTTTAATATAAGTAGTTCGTTATTTTGTATAGTTAAAAGTTTTTATCTGATTAGCAGGTTTTCTTCTTTTTAATAATAATTTTTTATAAATTTTAAATTAGTTTTTTTTAAACTCCTTTTATATTAGTATTCACTTTTGTATATATATCTGTTTTTCTCTTATTTCTTTTTTTTTCTTCTTTATAAGAAAGTATTATCAGATTAGCAGCATTCTATTAAAGAGCAAGGATCATGATGAAGCTTATAACATGTTAGCTAGTAATTCTGAAAAAAATAAATTTTTAGTAAGTTTTGGATCTCTAGAAATAGGTTAATTATAACAAAAAAAATGTTATGATCACATGATAAATAATTGTTTTCAAATATAATTAGAGTGATTTCAAATGAAGTAATCTGATAATCCTAATTATGCTATAATATTAATATAATTTTTGTATAATATATTGTTATATTAGAAGATTTTATTAGTATATTTTAGAAGATTTTTTTTTTTATAATTCGGCAATCCTGCCTCTGTTTATTTGAGATTAAGCTATTCAAGAATTATACATTTCTATC